ATAGAGCTAAGTTTGCAGAACATTTTGAAACCAGAATTTTTGTTTTCTTTCTTATTATAATATACAAAATTTAAAATTACTACATTTTATAAAGTTATATTCCCACAAGTTCTTCAATAAGACTTCAGTTTCATCCCAAATCCTTTTCTCTTTCATAAATTTGCCAAAAATATAGAAATCTAGAACACAAAATGGCACTTTGCCAGGCTGGCGGCCACCCATTCTCCATCCCTTACAGATCTCCCATTCACTTCACTCTTCATTACCCACTCCGATGGCAAAGCAAACCGTGCATTTTGTAAATTAATAACTCACGCAAGTAAATTAATTTAAAATCATATTTATAGCATTTTAGTTAATTAAATGCGCAAAAATGTGCCCATTCCCATTTTTGGCTAGGTGAAAGTGTCAACTGCATGAATGTGGTTACTAATGTTGTTTTTGTTTTCACTATTGTTGTTGTTATTGTTGTAGCGTCTGTCGCACACACAGAGGCACTTACTCACGCATACACACACACCTCTTTTTGCCAGCCGCCTGCTTGCCGCGACATTTATGAACTTTATGAAGTCTGCTCCATAAATCATCTCTCCCAAACCCATACCCCCTCAGTGTCTCTCCTTTCTGGCAGGGCTAGAGCATTTTGCTTAGGCGAATTTAATGAAAAAATGAATTTCTTATTCCCAAAGGTCTAAGCCACGAAGCGGGGATACTCTGGAGCAGGGTTAGATTTTGTAAAAAATGATGAAAAAGGAGAACCATTAAATGAAGTTTAGATATCACAGAAGTATACATGAAACTATAGTTAGGAAAATATTTCTATTGAAAGAATTTTATTTAATCTCTATTATTTACCTCTACAAATATTATTCTTTTATATATAAACACAAATATTTATTTTCAAAACCTATAAAAAAGGTAGAAAAACCCCATAAAAATCATACAAAATCCTATCTTCACGTCATGCTTAAACTTTAATAAAATAAATAACATTTTGGATATTAATATTAACAAAAACAATCATAATTCCTATTCCAAGGGATAATCAGGATACTCCTTTCCACTTTCCCCTTTCCGAAAGGGTATCCTGACATTCCCAGTCCGTGGATTCCGCGCGCAAGTTGTCTGCACGAAAGCGAAAGATGAAATCATGCGGTCTGCCGAGTGCCTCCAAAGGTAAGGCAGGGATTTTTGTTTTTTTTTTGGGACGGGGATAGGTGACTAAGGGCCGGGTGACTCGGTGGCTGCCACTGGCCGGATGAGTGGTGCAGCATGTGTGCCACATGGCCACATGGCGCATTGCCGTATCCACGACGACGACTCGACTGTTTGCTTGCCGCTTTGTTTATGTTTATCCTCTTCTTTTTTTGCTATTTATATTACAAAAATATTTCTGAGACTTTGGCGCTCTGGATGGTTTATTATTTTGCGCTTATTTCTAATTTTTTCCGCATCATCTTGGTTTTTATTCACCTTCTGCCGAGATTTATACCCAATACGCCAAGTGTGAGGGCTGGCAAGTTAATGTGGCGCATTATGTAGCCACATAGTTTCAGCTTCCCGCCCGGATTATGCAAAGATATGCGGTCTCTCCGCCAATCTGGCCAATAAACTGCAGAGCAGGCAGCCAGGGCACACATATAAAACAATTTGCCTACAAAAGAGCCATCTCATTTCGGGGGAGGGGGCCGGCAATTTAAAATTGTTTATAAAACAGGGCAGCCCGCCGCCACACACATGACCATAAAACTTGCAGGGAAAGATTGGGCGGGCTGCTCCGCTCCTGGTGGTGGCGGCCACAATAGCTCCCAGAGGTCGGCATTAAATTCTGCTGCTGCTGCTGCTGGCCTATATAAGCCGGGGCCAGGGTTTGGGCCACGGCCCTAACTACACCATGGGGACGGCAATTGATGATAGTCTGAGGCCCAAGATGTGTATGTGTTGTAGCCCAATCCAAAGCCAAAGCCAAAGCCGATGCCGAAGTAGAAGCTGAAGCTGAGCTGAGCTGAGCCGTAAGCCTAAGCGAATGCTCCGGGATATAAAAGGACTTAGTCGCATGTTAACGCAACGCCTACGCAAATCCATGGCCGGAATCAGGATCAGAATCAGGAACAGAAGCAGGAGCGGCAGCAGGAAGAACCACCACCAAACAATGCACTGCATCAGGGTACACTGGCAGAAAATATAGATAAACTCAAGGTGGAAAAAGAGGGATAATAAATCAAGAATATTATATTTAATTCTATACGTTTTTTTTTATATTATTTTGATTTTTCTATTGTTTTTCATTCATCAAATATTTTTCTTTTCACAAATTTCCCTCAGTGCTTGGCCTGGGGTTGCGATGCTGCTCTTGCTCCTGCCCGTCGTGATGCCTCCCCGAAGCCATCCCCCATTTGGCCATTATGAAGTCATAAACGCACATGCAGCCAGGCCAAAAATTGGAAGAGCCCATTGGGGATGGGCCCGGGGCCCGGCTCCATCTTCATCTGGCCTCGACTTTTGGCCGTTTCTCTGTTTTTTTAGCACATGTAAAAATGCTTGTTATCAAGGAGGAAACAAAAACACCACCAGGGGGCAGGGGGGACAAACAAAAAAAAAAAAATTAAACAACAAGATGTGGACAATTTTCGGGCACAGCCTCGGGCTTAAACTGTTATTACCAGTGGAGTGTGGGCCGGAGGAGTCCGTCTGCTGTTTATGAGTTGCAAAGCCGTAGTCAGACAATAGCCGGCAACGGCAACGGCAACACATGAGCGCTAAGCCGGAGGACATATTACGAGGCCTGCTCCAGTTTGCCATTTTAAACAGCCCGAGAAATGGAATCCCTGCCGTCACGAAACTCCTCCTCCTCCTCCGGTGGCCACTCCGGTGGCTTTCAGTGGTCCGGCTTCTTATGCCTGGCTGCATTTTATATTTATCCTGTGCCGGAATTTGTGGCCTCTGTACATTAGAAGTGAACTAAAGTGAAGGTGGAAAAGGTGTCTGCTCAGGTGAAATATGTAATTCCGATTGTGCGTAGGCTAGGCTTTGGGGTAGAGAGAGTTTAGCAGTTTGAGTCATAAATTTATGTTTGCCTTGGAAAGCAGTTTTTAGAGTCTGCAAGAAATGAAAGATTACTTAAAGAGGTAAGATATATATTTTAAAACAACTTTGAATCACCTGTTCTCTTTTGTGTTTCATAAAACTAAATATCCTCTGTGATATTTATATAAAAAAGATGGAAAGAGGTACTAAAACTGTTCAAAAACGAGTGTTCTTTTGTATAGAAATCAATTTTCTATGTATTTTTTATGTTTTTTCATTACTCAAAGCTCTGTGCCATGGCAATCCCGATGTAAGTTGAGCCGCACCCGCCTGCAATAATGCTAATGCCCCGGGGGCGTTAAACTAATTGAATGGCCTTCCACTTGTTGGCGGGCTTTCGATCTCGAATTTCCGATATTACAAAGGGCACGCGTCAATTACACTGAAGTAGATGTAAAATGTATTTTAAATGCTTGGCCAATATTGTCTTACTGCGTTCTCGGCGGGTGTATGTAAGGGGGGCGGCAATCGCGTTAGTCCTGGAACAGGGCGCGTGTTCCTTCCGGGTTGCCGCCAGCACGTGTCCGGAACAGGACCTTCGTTGTCGTGGCCGTGGCTTTAAGGAACTTTAACTACGCCATTGAAGCGAGGCAAAGGAGCAACGACGAACCGAGACCCGAATCCAGCGTTGGCCAACACATTTTTGGCATACTTCACACAATCTACTGATGAAGTCAACTGGAAAACTCGCATAGCTTTGATGTTTCGACAGCAAATGCAATGTGTACACACGGATACACACACCAGGACAGAGTCGGACTCGCAAAGGATGCCGATGCCATTTGTTTGAATGTCCTTTGGCGCATTTCAAAAGCCCGCAAAAACTTCAAAGCCCGAAAATGCGAGCGAAACTCACGGAAATGACCTTTATATACGGCAGAGAAGCTGTGGTCAGCTTCGTGCCCATGCGAAAGGGGGCCACTAAATAGTAATTTACCAAATTAGTTTGTTTTCCTAATTACGAGTACCAGGCGGTGAACTAAAAGTTCACTTTCCTCCCTCTTCCTGCCGCTGGCTATTAAATTTTTTTGCAATTACTCTAAAAGGATTTCAATTAGCGTTTGAAATCGCATTAAACTAAATGAAAATGCGCGCACCGCACAAAATAAATATATATAAAATATTTTATAATAACATTCATGGCTGTTAATAGGAATTACGGAAACATTAGCCGCACTGCCGGCCAACAAAAAAGCGCCATAAAAATAAAGCCAATTACCATAATATCATACAAATGCAATTACAAAATATCCAAATTACGTAATCGGCACTGGGTTAGTTAACCCTTTCTTTCAGCGAAATCACAGATATATACCCGAAGGGTGAGTCGGAAAATTAATCAAGGTATTTTCATCACAAAATTTCAATGGACTAGTGAGCAAATTATTCTGTTCGTTAATACCTTTGCTGCATTCTAAACAAATGCATTCGAAAATGAACTAAAAATTATGCATTATTAGCCAGATAGCGTTAGTAATTATTAAAATAATAAACGAGTTTGGGTCATGCAGACAAATAGCTGCCCTGCTTAAAAATAATTACAGAGATTAACCTTTGAAAAATGGGGAGGTAGAATAAAAGTGTAATTTTTTATGGTTCCTAGTACATTCACCAAAAAGTTGTCTTAAATAAACTAATTAGAAACATAGTAAAATCATGATTTTATAGATTTCTGCGAAAACCTAACTAAATATTCATAGAAATTTTTAAAATTAAAGCAACTTCTCAAGTCTACCAGTTCGTTTACTACCTGTAATATGAGTACAAGCCTGATCCCTAAGGTTAGGAACCTTGACAATGACATTAAATTTCCGAGTCATCCGTCACGCTGACGTCTCTTTTAGTGATAATCAATATGCGAGATATTGTATATACAAAACTAAATTTGACAAATACAAAGCGTCACGCAAAGTTTTACTATAAAAAGCAATGTGGCTTTGGCCAGCGATTAGAGAACTGAAAAGTCTAGCAAAATGAGGGCTACTCTGGCATTGACTCTGCTGCTCAGCTGCCTGACAGGGATTCTGTCGGTAAGTGCAACTCATTCCAACATCTATCATTAACTTCAATATATATATATATATATAATTTTCTTATTTCAGCAACACATGAACATGGATTCAGCGGTGACTAAAGAAGTGGTAGAGGGTTGCCTGAAGGAAAATGGAGTTTCTACCGATGACTTGGCAGACCTGCAGAGCGGCAAGGTGAAGTCTTCAGATGCCAAAGACAACGTCAAGTGCGCCACCCTGTGTATACTGGTGAAGAGCGGCTACATGGACTCCACTGGCAGTTTGCTGACCGAGAAGATCAAGCAGCAATTTGTTAACTCGCCCCTCAGTGCCGCCGTGGAGAAGGATCTGGAAAGGTGCAGCAAGGTCAAGGGTGCCAATGCCTGCGATACTGCCTTCCAGGTGCTGGCATGTTTCCAGATGCAGAACAATCAAGGCTAGGAATACCAATATCCTTCCAAAAGAGCAAAAAAAGTGAGCTGCAAAACCTATTAGATCCTGAATTGTACCAAAAACAGCATTCAATGTAATACATAGTAACAAATACACGTCTTTACAAGTTTTTCAAAACGTACTCGTAGTTTTTTATAATTTTTTTCGCCTTTAAATAATATTTTAATCTTCATTAAACTGCTTAATGACTTAAATTTCTCAAAATCCTTTAGGGCTTTTTGAAATCCCTGAAATATGCTCATATCTCTTAGCGTTTCTGTTAGCTTTTTTGGTGGCTAATTTGGGGAAGATTCTTGCAAGCATCTGCGAAATGCCAGCAATTTAATTATTTCGAACCGCTTTGGCAAAAAGGCAAACAGAGAGCACTCATAAAATCATAGCCATCGGCAACAATTTCAATCGAATTGTCAGGGTCGGAACAGGACACACCCTGTGCCCCCAAAAAAAACCCCACTCCTTTGCTGTTGTTATCGAAGACAAACTAAGTTTTCATATATAAATAGATGATGTCGGCTTCTCAGGGCAGGCTATATATATATATATTGTATTCCGAGGAATTTTTAATTTCTTCATTGTGAAAATATTTATTGAAACCGAAGAGTGCCCCAAGGCACCGAAAAGTTGACGGAGTACCAAGCAAAAAAGGGACACAAGAAAAACAAGAAAGAGGGATATATTTTGGGGGATACAACAGCAGGGATACCCTGTAATGGTAAGAAGAATTCCCCCATTTCTTTTGACAACATTGATTATAAATTTAAATGAAAAGAAATTTAAAATGAAAAGAAATCAAGGGGACTGTTGAATTGTTAGATATACTTAAATATTATAATTATTTGTACCCCTAATTTATGATTTTCTAACATTTAATATACCTTTCCCCTCATTATCTTACGAGGTATCACAGGAACCCGAAAATTGCGCAACGCTTGGAGTTCGATGGTATCGAAAAATCTACTGATTGGAAGCCGAAGCGAAGGAAGAAGGAACCCAAGCCCTGGCCGGAGCCGGAACCGGGAGTGACTTTAACTGAGCTGAGCCGCAGCTTAAAGAAGAGAGTTCGGGACGCGTTCCAGCTCCGGACAGCTCCGGTAATAGCCACTGAAACCTGGGCAAACAAATTGAATGAAATCAACTCGTTAAAAAGTAAATAACTCTTATGAATGGCCGAACGGCACAAAGAGAGAGCGGGCCAAGTTACCCAGGTAAGGTGGGTAGAAAAGGCCAGGATCTCCGCCCTGCCGCCAGTCAATTGAAAATGAAATACAAATAAAAATGCAAACAACGGCCCAACGCATCGGCCACATACAAATGCTTCTTGGCTAAGCAGGACGAGAGAGAGCCGGGTTGAAGGCTCCAGGACATCTCTAGATGGCTGGACTGTCGGGAATGACCGAGGAAATTAGTAGACCCAGGCACAAAAGGGAGCCTGGAAACGCCGGAATGGCAGCCAGGAAATGGCCTGTGAGCCGCCGCAAGCTCAGGAGCCAGCAAGCCACGACATCCAAGAAGGACTTGCAGTTGAGAGAGACCGCCGCCGCCTGTTTTCCTTTCACATTCATCGATGAACTTTCAATAACAGAACTTTAGTTTGTCGATTTTGTTTTCCTTTTTTTTTATGGCGGCCGCCGGGCTTCCTTTACTTTTTATGCACCCTTTTCAAGGATATGACATTGAATTGCATTGGTTGGAAATGATGCAGGGTGGCGAAAGGCAAAAGTTTGCACTCCAAAATGGGTTTTGGCCCAGGCCTGCAAAAGTTGTTGCAAAAAAGTAACTTTTTATGCAAAGGGATAAGAGCTCTTGAAACCGGTTGAGAAACTTATCTGGCTAGCAGGAGGATCTGGAAAATAAGCCCTGATTGTAGGCATCACATAAAAGATTTATAATTGAGTTCTTAGTGAAATGCTGAGATGCTGAGAGTTTAAAGTGATGCATGCGAAAAAATTCAACAGGAAGTGTTAAGTAACTATACAAAAATGAAAGAAATTATAAGAAACTATTCTTAACAGTCTACCAATTTTAGTAATTTAACAAATTTCCTACTTTAACATAAGATAATTATTTTCACAGTGTAGAATATTTACCCTTCAGTGGTCTCCCCCCCTGTAGTCTGTCAGTTTCACACCCAAAGTCACGAGCTTAATTACATTCCTGATGGCTTTGAGCGGGCTCGATCCCCGGGTCTGGATGTTGCCAAGGAAACTCGTATTCTGCTAGCCACCTTGCCGCTGCTGTTGACAATTTCCAGGGCGATGCTTCGCATTCAAAATCGCAGCTCTCTTCCGACCAACCGCAGTTTATTAAAAGCTAAACAGCCAAGTTTGCTGATGCCGCCAAGAGCAGGAAATATGCATAGACCGAGGCAGAGGCAGAGGTGGACTCGATCCCAAAACACGAACTCAGTGCTCTCCTCCAATCCAATCCCAGCCAAGTCAAAACCCATTCAACAACAGTTTCGCATAATTGTAAATTCAAGTGGAAATGAATGAATTTACGCTGAACTCGACAGAAAATACCAGCAAACGAATGTTGCTGTTGCCATCGCATTTTGCTTTTACCTTTTGCTGTTTCTGTTTTTCCCGAGCAGCTAACAGGTAAGCACATAAAGAAACAACATATCTAATCTAAAATATTAAAGAGGGAAGTACATAAATTTTTCCTAATACAAAAAACCAATGAATCAACCAAATTTTCTTGACTTTCTTTCTTCAATTTTCTGACCATAGATCGTTCTTACGACTCCCATTTCTTTGAGTGTAACAGGTAACGGGCGAAGAAGGTAACGGATGCTGATGGCAATGGCGCTGCTAACGGTAACGTTTCCCAATGGCGCGCAAACAATATGGCGTCGCCGTCGAGGTCGAGGATTCAAAATGGAGTTGGGTATCCCAACCTGGAAGTCGGCGGATGAGTCTGTGGAACTGGCACTGGAGGTGCAAATGGTAGCTGGCGCTCTGTTAGCTGTGGCGGAATCACGTTGCCTGCATATTTTCATTCATTCGCTTCAGCGTCAACGTCTGCCGACGACTGCAAAGTTATGGAATGCATAACGGGTTGTATGTACTCCGCCCGCCCGTCCCCAATGTATTTGCACTTTTGTGTATCTGCCGGATCCAACAGAGCCCTGAATGTGCTCACTTCTTGCTGCCCCGCTGGCTTACCCTTCAAGTATTTACGCCTTTATTTATTTAACATTTCAATTGCATATTTTCGCACAAAAGCGCGTGCCAAGCGGGGAAGCGAGCCGCCTCTGTTGCTGCTGCTGATGACGATGGTGATGGCGATCCCCAAGCAATGCAATGTCAATGCCCAACATCCTTCAAAAGGGGTTAATGCGAATGCCTGTGGGGGCTTAGCCCACACACACAAAAAATATCTGAAGGTCCGGCACGTTTTCCAGGGGCGTGACCCATGCAAAATATTGCCCAGAGTCAGTGTCATTGCTCTGGGTTTCAATATTTTTCAGGGAGGGGATTTTTTTAAAAACTCATCAGCAAATGGGAAAGTACATATATTTTAAAGCTGGATAAACAAGTCATTAAAAATACAGATTTTGAAGTATAAAATTGAAGTGCAACAATATTTGTTCTTATTATAAAACTGAAAAAAGGGATTTCTTAAAAATTGTTTATCTAATTTCGGGTATTTTAGGAATTTTCTAGGATCATTTCAATTTTATGAATATTCTTATTTATTAGTAATAATCATAGAAATCAAAGGAAAAGCCAAGAGTTTCCATCAGCAAATTTATAAACTTCTTTTAGATTCCGAAAAACAAATTTTTCATCTTGCTTCACTCACATTTCCTCAACTATAAACCGCTGGATTTCAATATTCATTGAGTAAACTCTCATAAAAAATAGCTTTATGCATTTGATAGATTGATGGGACTTGTCCAACAGGCAAACCTTATATTCTTCTAGTGTTGGCTCAACACTTTCGTTTTTCTTTAAACACCCAAACCCTGTGTTCCATCATCATCATCATCATCATCATCTTCGGCATCATAGCTATTTTCACTGGCGCCCGAAAGTATGCTCGAGTGTTCCCCGCTTTTAGTTTCGATTTTTCTCTTATTTTCTTTTTCGGGGGCTCTTTTGGGGCTGCTTCTGCTGGTGACATCGATTGTTATTGTTGGGCAAACAATGGCAAACATCGCCAAATACATTTGCCTGCGTACGTCACTCGAGATAAGTCGGCGTCGTCGTCGGCGGCGGCTTCTTGGGCTTCTTCGGATGATGCCAAGATTGATGGTTTGCTCCCCAAAATGATACCTGATTGAGTGTGTGCGGCCGAGTGTTGTTTGCCTTGGCATATTCAATATTGTTGGGGACTCTCAGAGCTCGTACCTCTTAAGTGTCATTTTGTGTTCTCGACACGCATTTTATGGCAGACTGGCAAAGTTTTCGGGACACATCCACCCATACCATTCCTTCGAGATGCCGCTGACACTGAGTGAGATAAATGGTGACAAGTTTGTAGGCCAATTTGCGAACTAAACCGTCTAGCAGGCGCCACATATACACCATAACCAATCCATCCAGATAGCTGGAGCTGCTCCTCAATCCATACAGCCAGCCTTCATCGATGGCTCACACAATTAGCTCCGCGGGGCCCGAAATAAAATGCAGTCTGCTGCAATTTTGCCTGCAAGTTGCATTTTCACAGTTCACTGGTTGGGGAGCTGCAGCAAAGCACTGGGGAAAAATGTGGTACTTAATGGGGAAATTCTTTCATAAACATAGATTTGGTGTTGATATCTTTTGAGACCAAAAATGTACATAGTACAGGATATATTATTAATGGGATTGTCTATTTATCCTGTAAAATCAATAAAGCATCGTTATCTCGATATTTCCTGCTTTATGTTAATGCCTATTCAATTTCTCTCAGTGCATCTATAGCCACCTAACGGTTGTTCTCGCTGCCTGGCTTCTTAACTTTGGCTCACAGCGCTTGTCGTAATTTTCGCGCCATCAATTTTGGAATTACTTGTAGCGCTATAGCCCTGCTGAGCGAATTACATGCTTCATTTGGCCTTTGCTGCCGCCGCCGCCGCCGTTGCTGCGCCGATTGAAGATGGCAAACTCTGGATTTCCTCGTTCTCGGTTCCATCCAGGTGGCGGCCGCCTTGCAGCCATGGAATGCAGCTGCGATTTTTGCATAAGTAGCGCAAATGCTATGCATTTCGAGCTAAGAGCGCTCGATGGAACGCCCCGACAATCGCTGGAGCGACGCAATTACGGATAAATGGAAGCTTTTGGATCGGGCTCACTCTCATCCACTTAGCGCTTGTTATGCCAAGGCTATAACAAAGTGTTGATTCCGGTGCTGTAAATGAGATAACTGGCATGGAGTGTGGAAAGGCAACTGACTTATTATATAAGTTGATTAGCCACAGGAAATATTTCAAGATTGTCGGCCAAGTCAATGATACACTTGTCCGGCTTAAGGTGATATAATTGAGTTAAACGCTTTGGCGATTGCAGATCGATGGGGAACGAGGAGATAGAGCTGTGAAAGTTAAAATTAAAGTTAATAGAAGTTAAACTCTCTCTTGGGTTTATTTGCAGACTGAAGATTAAAGAACTGCTCTACGATTATATCTAATATTCTCTTATCCTTATGGTATTTTCCTCTACGAGACCAAAATGAATTTAAGACTTCCTCCGCCAAGATTTCAACTTCAAAAGGGTAAACTGGCTTTTCGATTGCAACTTATAAGATTTCGCTGGCAAAACCCTGGCCTTACCCCTGCGATTAATCCAACCCTTAGGCAGAAAGCAAAAAATAATACCAAGTCACAATTCCACTTTTTCGCCAAGCTATCCCAGCTACCGGTAAGAAAACAGCCAGTCCTGGCCACAATTTATGCCTCGAAAGAAGGGCTCCTTGAAGCGGGACACGCAACCCCAGTCCCTGTCCCTGTCCCTGTCCCTGCCGTGGTATAAAAAGGATAAAACTGAAGCAGCAAACTGCATTCATCTGCTCACAATGCTTGCTACCTACAGAAGGTAGGTAGCGTGCCTCTCGGGATTCCAAATGGCAAAAGGGAACGAGCAGCAGGGATACTTGGCGTGTACTTTGTGCCACGACTACTTTTTACTTTTCTTTAACATTATTTTGCACTTTTCAATTAAAAACAAAAAAAAAGAAGAGTGTGCACCCCACGCAGTCGGGGATCGAGGGATCCCGGGATCCCTGGTTCCTCTACCCGTCAGACACACAAGCCAACAAACTACGGCCATGGCAAAGGGCAAAAGTAACCCCAAAAGCTGTAAAAGCAGAACCTAAGGGTGGCCAAGGGGTTTGTTTTGGGGGATACCAGCGAGAGGGGCAGCTGCCATAATTATAATTTCTTAATGCAAATAAAAACTCGCCGTGCTGATTTTTCGCTTTTTGTAGAGAACCACAATTTAAACATTATGGACTTTTACTTGGACGCTTCGCGTTCTCTCTCCCAGTTGTGGGGAAAATACCCTATGACCAACAGAGGGTCCTTTGGTTTATATTAGAGCCTTTGACTATATGGATTTTATAATTATAAAATAAAATTTTTTTAGGCAATATATAAAATAAAAATGCTTTTTAAGCAAGTAACAAGTAGGAAATTATTTATTTTATGTACCTACGAAATCCTACATTAATTATTAATAGGATATATAGTACTTTATATATATATTTCTTAACAAATTTCCTTATATTCCTGTGAATATTTCAAATAACACCTGAAAATTCCAGCCAAGAGGGTGTCCATCCTTCAACTTATCGCTGGTAAATGTACTTTAATCTCACTGTTGTTTTTCTTTTTCTTGCGCATTTCCCTTGGAAAGAAGTGCAAAAAGGGTTAAAATGGGAATTTGCTGGTGCTGTTCCTGGTTCCTGGACCCTTCCTCTTACCTCTGCTCCTGCTCCCTGTTCTGTTCTGTTCCGTTCCTGCTCCTGTTTCTGTCCTGGCACGCCCCATTCGGACGCCCACCGCTGTTGACCATTGTGGCCATTGCAGTGCCAACAAACATGCATAGTTAATGAGTGAAATAAAAAGCTCGGGTCCCTGCCCCACAAACACACACACATTCTGTTCGCACACCCATCTGCACACACCATTCGTACATATTTAAGGGCCTGGCTTTTCAGCGCCTTGCGCAATGAGCTTACGTGGCGTATAATTAATATTAAATGTTATACTTATAAATTAAATAAAATGGCGCAACTGAAGCTGCTGCCTGGCTGCTCCTTCTTTCAGCCGCACGATTGATGACCTGGCCGTCAAGCAGGCAGCACAAATATATGCTCCACATATAGGACATTATGTACACAGGATATACTACAAAAAAAATAAGAGATTTTATAGATTCTAAAAGAGCTCAAGAAAAGCGAAATGAAATATTTGGCAAACTAATATTTTTAAGCCTAGTAAAAATATATTTTACAAAGGAAAAATGTTTGATATTTTAAGTAAATTATATAGTAAAAATAATAAAATTATGATTTTAAGACTAAAAATATTTTTAATATGACAAATCTTAATTTAAATCTTTAAACCAGAAATGCCTTTCTTAATAAGTAATTCCTTGCATTTTAATTACTAAAGTATATTTAGAACTTAAAACAAATTTTAATAAATACATTTTCCTTAAACTTACATAGTATTTTTCCCAGTGTAGCTAGAATGTTTCTGTGTTTGTGGGTCTTACTATATCCCCGGGTTATAAATGTGTGTTTGCCAAGTTTGACTCGACTTGCTACTTGCGCCACTTCCGCTGTGCGGAAAAATGCTTTTGATTTGATTTTCACCAAATGTCAACTTGACGTCACGTCGTCTACGATGGGGTGGGTAGAGCGGAAAAGCGGGAAAGCGGACGTCGACGTTGTCGCCGCCTTTGTTGTGCCGATTCAACTGCATGATTTATTGTTTTGATGAAATTGCGTGTAAACAATTTAGTGGCTGGTTGGCGCCCCCCAAAAGAAAACTCCACCCTGCGCTTTAAGTTTATGAACTTTTGAAAGACTTGATTTGAGGTTAAATATGGCGATATTTCATGGCCACTAACAATCCGCCAAGTTGCATAGTTTTGACTTCTTTGAGAGTTATGGCTGAGATTCAAGCGAAAATAATGGTAAACTGATGCCATATTAGTGGAGTGATGGATGATAAGCTGTAAAGCTAAGTCAGAGGATTTAAAATCAGAATTTAAATACTAATTTTCTGGATTAATATATAATATTTGCTAAATCTTTAAAAGCTAACTTTTCCCAGCAACTTTCAAGCTTTAAAACGATTTAATTCCCAATATATTATTCCCTTTTAAATAACCGGGTTAAATGGGTATATGGCAACCGCTTTCTATCCGAACTTTTGGCTTTGTAAATGAACCGCAATCGTAGTAAATATGGAGATGCCATTCCAGAGCGGCAGCCACAAAACCCACAAAGATGTCAAGGGAGATGCAGTCAGACCGCACGAGCTCCCATTCTGGATATCCGTATCCCCACATGTATATAGTCATGGGGTTTATGGGAGGACAGTTAAAGCTACCAGTTTACCGCAAAACTGAAAGCAACATCGTATGCAATTGCGAGTACCAATAAATATGCCATAACAATAAGTGAGGGGCCGAGAGCTAATATCCGATTACTCGGCCCCGCAAATGTGGCGTGAAAAGCGTCAAGGCAATCCTACAGCCAGGATACTGCCACTAGAGATACTGCCTCACCCCTGCCCCCCTACCCCCTCCGAAACATGAAACAAACGCATAAGTAAATACTAGAAACGAGTGACTTTCAATATCCTTACAGGCTTATTGCTTACAGCAAATTTCACGCCGGCAGACAGACAAATGCGAGGAGCTGCGAATGCATTTACACATTTGCAAAACACAAACACACAAAATCCAAACACAGAGACAGTTGCCAACATGCAACATACAAATATGCGTGTTGTTGGGGCTTTTCCAACCATTTTCCCGAAGCAGGGAGCACGGAGCACTGAGCTCGTGCTGAACTGGGATTGGGTTCGCATCCAGTCATGTCTGAGTGCGTTTCCTCCGACGCATTTACGTTTATTGCATTTGTAAATTATTCACACAAGGATATTAAATGCAAATTGTGAAATAGACGACACACTCGTGCTTCACAGATACGATATCCTTTGGATGCGAGGCGAGGCGAGGGGAGAGCGAGTGTCCCTGCCACCAAGATTACACCCTAAAAAATTGGGTTATAGATATTTTGGTAATACTTCTTTAATGGCTCATAAGAAAGGTTTTTAATTAAAACAAACTATAGTTTCAACAACCTTGTTTATTTTGTATAAAAATATATAAAATATCTATAATTTTCCTCCAGTGCTGTTGCGAATTACTCAACTCCTGCATATGATTGTCACATGCAAAAGCGAATCGAGATTCTCGTTTTCCGATCCTTGCCTCGGGTCCTGGTCCTGGTCCTCGTCCTCCCATTTGATTTCCTTGAATGCCATTTGCCGGAAGGACCTCTAGCCCCTTGTGAGGTTACACAGGGCAGTCAGCAGTCGCCAGTCGATAGTTGACAACGCAATCTGACTACTTGATTGACTCTGCTCCTCAAATTGGTTCACCTGACGGCGGCCAGAGATCAAAAATTAATTTTATTAAAGCCTCGAGGACCTTCTTTCTTATTTATTCGTTTTCCATTACCCGATTACACTCTGGCCGGAAGAGCACACACTCAACACCCGAAACAAAGTTGGACAAAAAGTTAAATTTCGTTGGCAAATTTCACTCACATGCAACGCTGCCTAAACACGTTTGACATTTCTGCTGTGGACAAAGTTTTTCGGGGTGCGAACGAGCGTAACATGCAAATCGAATTTAAAAAGTTGGCAACAAAATAGTTGAAGGCCAACTGCTGCTGCTGCTTCTGGCCAGTACATTACCGAATCGTCTATGCAGAACCGTAGCACCTGTCCGTAAACAGAGACAATTATTACACAATTATTGGCACTTAATTGGGTCTCTCCAATTAAACCACTTGACACCTTTTTTCGTTTGTCCCTATAAAAGGTCCCTCAAAAGTGGAGGTGCCAATAAAAACAGTTAAGATGTTCAGAGTTAAGGAACTGCTCCTTTCGCGGAAGACCTTCAACACTCCCATCTTTCAAACCCATTTGAGTTGCTTTCGCTGGTATGGCTATGTGGCCTCCGAGGATCAGAAGAAGGCCTGGTTTAGCCTCCTTCGCTGCACTGTCTTTACGGCCTCCATTTGGCTGAGCTGTGCCCTGATGCTAGGACGGGTTTTTCGCGGCTACGAGAAGCTCATCGATGGAGCCACGAGTTGTGCCACTGCGGTTCAGTATTTCACAGTGTCCATTGCCACCTTGAATGCATATGTGCAGCGGGATAGTAAGTACAAAAACAGCTTTCAATTAAACTTTTTATCAGAGGAAAATCTTAAACTTTCCTAGGAGTTATTGCCCTTCTTCGCCTGGTCCACTCGGATCTTGAAAACTTTATGACCGAAGCCGACGATCAGGAGTTGGAGCTTCTGGCCATAACGCAGGTGTACACCCGCACCATTACCCTGATCCTCTGGGTGCCATCGGTGGTGGCTGGCTTGATTGCCTATTTGGACTGTATTTACAGGACTTTCTTTCTGCCCCAGACTGTATTCAATATGCCGGCGGTTAAACGGGGCGAGGAGCAGCCTATTTTGCTTTTTCAGCTCTTTCCCTTTGGCGAACTTTGCGATAACTTTGTGATTGGTTATCTTGGACCCTGTTATGCCCTGGCCTTGGGTATCACCACCATCCCGCTGTGGCATACCTTCATAACGTGTCTCATGAAGTATGTGAACCTCAAGCTGCAGATACTGAATAAGAGAGTGCGGGAAATGGATGTGAGTAATTCTCTTAATGCTATTTATAAATAAAATAATAATTTCTCAAATAAATTAATATTTTTTAGATCACCAGACTAAATCCCAACTTGGTTATAGATCGCCTGACACCCAGTGAGCTGACTCATTGGCGAATGCAACTCTGCAAGGAGTTTGTAGAGGAGCAGCTCAGGATTCGAAAGTTTGTCCAGGAATTGCAGAATCTGATTCGTGTGCCCGTTATGGCCGATTTCATGATCTTTTCGGTGCTCATGTGCTTTCTTTTCTTTGCCTTAACAGTGGGGGTGAGTTGGAGGATTTTTAATTTATATATTTTATTTAGTTATGGAATGTCTTAGGTGCCCAGCAAGATGGACTACTTCTTCATGTTTATCTATCTTTTTGTGATGGCTGGCATACTGTGGATGTACCATTGGCATGCCACTTTAATTGTTGAATGTGTAGGTATAATTAATATATTTCATTCTTAGATTATTATTCGATTAGTTATTTTGATTTTATTAGGTTTATTTTAGAGATTTTACGTTATTAAATGATTTCAAAACCTATTTTTCATTTAAGAATCATTTAAGTTTCCATTTCAATTCATTTTTTCTGCTGTCAACTTCGAAAAAAAATGTAGGATAAAACCGTATCGTTTCGCAGTTTTATTTACTCTGTCTTTACTCCAGGCAATTCTTGTTTACTTCGTTTTAGGTCCTTTTTCTGGATATGTGATTTTTGATTCTCAATTCTTTGTTTTTTTCCTGCAGCACGACGAACTATCCTTGGCGTACTACTCCTGCGAATGGTACACCTTCGAGATACCTGTCCAGCGAATGCTGCTCTTTGTGATGATGCATGCCCAGCGGCCGATGAGGATGCGCGCCCTGCTGGTCGATCTGAATCTGAGGACCTTCATAGATGTAGGCTTCCGTTAAGGATGCAGCCTTTGATTTTAATCCTTCACTTTTTTTTTCTCACAGATTGTGCGTGGGGCCTACAGCTACTTCAACCTGCTGCGTAGCTCCCACTTGTATTAGGAGCTCGTCCTGGGGGGGGGCTAATCAAGCGGCGAGCCTTGCGCCTGTCAACTCGTTTGGCTAACATGACAGTAAACAAGCCATGCAATTCATTGTTCCTGGAAAAAAGCAAAGGAAGCCGGTGGTAGCAGGAAGTACAGAAGTCAAAGGGGGATGGGGATACGGATAAGGCAAAATGCTAAACCATTTTACAGCGCAAATAAACGTGCCTGCGCGCTCTCCTCAAAGAGCCAATGCAAGTAACAAAGTAACAGGCGACATCATTTATCACTCTCGAGAAACGTCGCATGTCACTGGCATTGTATGTGTTTTGTTATATTGTCTTTCTCAATGGATATAAAACGATTTTTGCACTTCCCCATGAACCATTCCACCCGGTTCTGGTTGTGTTTTCCCTGCCGTGCCTCTAATTGTCTTGGGGGTTTAAACAAAAGGAAATTTATGCGTCTGGTCAGATACAGCACCAACCACCGCCGCTGACGAAACTAACCAAACAAACCGAATCGCTGTCCCCCTGGGTGTATTTTTTAATATTATTAAGAGTATAGACCGAAAAAAAAACGTTGGGCCAAACCCACACCCAAATAAACACGCATATTGTTGCGGTTGTTGAGCTCCCCGCTCCCTGGGTGCCTGGGATTACACAAAGTGGCTAAATGGCTGATAAAGGCACACGCCGAACCTCGGCTACTAATGAGTATTAATGGCAGGTATGCCCGATCCCTTCCAGAGTTCGGGGTTTTTCAACTCCGCGGAGGGTGACAGCCCGGGCGAGGGTCACAGATAGTTGGTTAACAGCGTGAAAAGGGTTGTTCTTCTTGGCGAACCGCTCGATTGGGATCTCTCTGAGGAGAAAGCATACCAGAAAGCCTTGATGTATGAGATACAAATGTTTTTTATTTATGGTATATATCTTTTTGTGTTTTCTATAGATCACGTTTGTTCAAACAAACAAAACATGCTGAAAGGGTTGATGGGTTGACCTTTTTTTTGTGTATTTCAAGTACTAAAATCGCAGAAAATAGGTAAATATTTTCACAACAAAGAGGAATGGGTTTATTACGTAGGTTATTTGGAATGTATTTGTTGATTTGCCATTTTTTATATATTTTTTAGGGGTTTATTTGATTAATTTCTTGTTTAATATGTGTTATTCCTAAAAGTTGATACTTTATTTACTTTTATTTTTAATGATTCTTATAAAAAATGCTTTATAAAAGTATCTTTTCGATTTCTTGCTCAGTATTTCAACTTTATGATATTTATTTAGATATTTTTGCTCATTCATTCTCTTGAAAATAAACTTAAGTATAGCATATCACCAGGCTTTAAATAATTTTCAATCAAAACCTTTTGAAAAATAAAAACTATAAAAGTTATTTCTTCACTGTATTCAAAGAATTAAAATATAATTTACTTAAAAAAAATCCCAGCTAATTTAAATCAATATTTCATCAGGTTAAAAAACTGCCTGGCAACATCGAAACAACCCACAATGTAGATAATATTTTTTATACCGCAAGACCAAAATAGAATTTGGTATAAATAGAATAACCACATGGCCATAGCGAATTTCTGGCATCTGTTGCCGCCGGTATTTTAAGCAATATTGGCAAATTTTTTATGGTTTTCGCTGCGCACGTTTTTTGTTGATTATTTATGACATTACATACATAATGCAAGCGTAATGGATGCGAGTGTTCATTAAGCACAATGAAATGAATGTCGTGCACTCAGACCCAACCCCTGGGCCCTCAAGGGGACCCACAGCGAGTGTATGGAAAGTGTGTATGTGTGCCACCCTCTTAGGGTTTTGCAGTTTTGCGAAAAAATTAAAATTTGCTGCACACATGTAATGAATATTTACAATACACTGCTGCCCTACACAGCGCCACAAAAGGAATGAATTCAAAGGGAAAGCGATTCTCGGAAAGGAAAAACCCCCTTTTTGAAACGAAACGAAGCCCATTTGCTCCTTATGACATATAAGGGTGGCACTGAAGGTGAAGCCAAATAATTGTCGTATGTTACGATTATGCGTAGTCATATCTGCGATGCAGAATTTGACTTCGAACAGAGTGTGTATTTCCAGGGAAAGAAACGACAAGGAAAATGACTGACAGGCAAGTCCATGATACACTCATTTCCGGTTGAAGCCTTGATTAAATGTGGGTTTTGCGGTTAGTTAAGATTTATATATATATTAATTTAAATTAATTTATAATTAAATTAGTTAAGAGATCCCCCAACTCTACTCTACAATATCTCTTTTTTCAAATGAAACTTTTAAATAAAAAATAGCGCCATAATAAATTGCATTTCTAGGAATAGAAAAAACCATTTGCTGGCCTTATTATTTATGCAGCAATTCCTGTATACAATTCTTTTTATTTTTCACCTTAATTCCATGGGCAAACGCATACGTTTGTTGCGCTACCAAAGCTCTCCACTTTGGCCAACTAAGTGTTTTGCCATTAAACATTTACGATGGCACAGTTAGGGCAGCCGGGGAGCACACGCGTGACTTGGGCCAGCTGTTATGTGTGGAATAAAGATGGTTATTAAAATTAATTAACGCACGGCGATTTGTTGCCCGGCGCCATAAAGCGGAATGAAGTTGTAGTTAAAATTTGAATGCATTGAATTAATCAAAAGCCGGTGGCCCATCTGCCGGCCGGATGTGGGCACTCGAGCTTGGCCAGAGGAGCCAGGCTGCCATGACTGCAGTGTGTGTCACCGTAGGACTAGGCCCCGCCCAGGATATCATGCACACATTTAAATGCAACTGATTAATCATGGATAAAGTTGTTCTCCTGCTGCTGCTGCTGCTGCTGGTCACGTGACTGCCAACAATTTGACTTCAAACACATTAACAGTTACGGTCCGGGAAAGTTGAGGGAGTTGCGGGAGTGCGAGGCTAAAATGCAGGACTCCCGGGGAGCAAATACGGCTCCTGCACGCAGAGGGTTTGTCACCAGCAACAACTTAACTTGGCTAACTAAAACTTTTCATGCATTGCCGTTGACAGTGCAATAAACATGCCAAAACAAATGCACCAGCGGCCAACACAATGGCAACAACTTATGAAAACAACAGCGTCAACTACTGACCCGCCCATCTTCTGGGGTGGCGGGTTGCGAGTATCACCCAAAGGGGTACAAGAACCGACACCCTTTCTGAAAATAGACACGTAGCCAGCAAAGAATTTAGTCAATGGGAGAGTTTTGGGTGGGAGTCCGGGAATAGTTTGCCGCCTTTTTTCCAAGAATTTTCAAAGGAAACGAAATTACTCCGACTGATTTATGAAGTTTGCATTGACATTGGAATTTTTACGAGTACAGGCTTTATTTTAACTTAATTAAAGTGTTCCTAAAACTCGGGATAACTTTAAAAGTCTGTAATCGAACAAGGCTCGGTTTGTAGATTTTTATGAGGAAAATAATATAATAAATGGAAGAAGATAGTTTCTTATATTACAAATTAATTTAAATATTATATAATATTTTAATAAAATATTGTGAAACATAAATCGCTTTCTTATCAGCAGATATTATGAGTTAATTTGTGATTTTATTTACAAAATAGGGAAAAGTTCCTCCTTTCCTTTTCTTTATTATTACAAAATATGAACGATTTTTTCTATTATTAGTTCGAAATAAGGCAAATATATTATATATTTTTAAAAACATAAAATTTGTTCTATTATATTTTACAATTATTTAATTTCCAACTATTTAACAGCACCATTTTATGGCCATAAGACGTAAGCTTCACTGATATCTGTAAATTGCGTATTGCCAGAGAGAAAAAGCCATGAAAAACTTTAACAACGAAAGCCGATTTTCGCAACTGCTTTTTTAAAGCGCCCACATATCCGCACACAAACATGTTGGATAGATATAGATAGGTTCCCTGCACAAAAATAGATCGCGCCGTTCCGTGCCGCCCATTTGCAATTTCGCTTTTTTGAAAAACACAAACTGTTTTCGGCTTTGCGTCCCTTTTGGCATGTGTGTGTGTGCTTTTTAATTTAATTTTCGTAGGCCGCCATGCACTGCACTTGAAACCGCTTGCCCAAGCTCGCACATGAATAACGTGGACTCACAGTAACACACACCCAGCGCCAGCCACCCACCACCCACCACCCAGATGGGGGGCGTCGGCTTACAAAAGCACAGTCGAGAGCCCGAAAAGCGAAGTGCCCAAACCACGTGGCGCCCGCTTTCATGCGCTTCGTTTAGCAAAGTGGATGTTAAGTGTAATGCGATTTTTATGTAAATTTTTACCCAAAAAAAATCGCACTTTCGCACACACAGACGGCGGAGCAGCCAACAGTTTGATGATTTTTCGTTGCCACGGTCACGGCCAGCTTTCCAGCCAGACAGGCAGACAGACGATGGAGCAGCAACAAATGACTGAATGTCCAGCGTTCATATGTATATCCCAGAGCCCACTGCCACTCTCAATCGAGCAGACAAACAGCAGCCTCCGCTGAATCGCAGACAGACAAGTGGCTATATGGCCAGCATAAGGGAAAAAGGGATTAAGACCAAACTTGGGCACTCCCAGGCCTTGGTTAATTCATAACAAAATCTTTGTTTAATATCAGAAGCAAAACAACATAATAATAAAAACACTCTGTATAATTAATCTAAAGATCTCCTTATTATTTTCTCATATTTATCAGTTCAAAAGGGTTCATTAGTGGAAGACCATCAGTTAAACCGACAACTCTAGGCAGGAGCAACCCCGTCAGAATCGTGGTACCAAATTATAATCACACAGGAGTCATAATTTTTTTAACATCAAGTGGCCTTATTAGTATGGGTAGAACGTCAGTTCACCTTACTAATGACAATCGTTTCGTCGCCAACAGCGCACTCTCCAAGAGCACAGCGCCAGAAGTGGTTGGGAATTTTATGCGCACAAAATGAACAAAAAAGTGATAATGCCAGTTCACCCGAAATGCCAACAGATGGCGCAAGAATAAACAATAGGGG